TGTATGTATGTACATACTACATGTTAATAAATCGCATTAGATATAGCATTATGCTTGCAGTATATAGATACATACGTACATTCGATTGCGATTTTTTGCAATTGAAGCAATTATTATTATTATTATTATTATTACACTATGCGACAGTCAAAATCGGGATGGGATGAAACCAACGGGAAATGTTATATCGGTCAAAAACAAGTTATACGTGGCCCGGCGTTTCGCTGGGTCACGTCTAGGAAATATATATATATATAGGGGAAATTGTCACCTTTGGTGGTCTTTTTTTTTACATAACTCGAGAACCACTAGGCCGATTTTGCTCAAACAAATTTAAAAAAATTAAAAATTACAATTCCTTTAATCTGTTAATATAACGTTTTTCTATATACTCAACAGTTTTGCCGGTAAAAATAAATGTATGAAGAAAAACAAATTATTTTTGCCTTATTGCATTTGCAATTATAGCAGGGTAAGAGCACGCTATGGAAGTGAACTCACAAAGATATGCGGAGCTGTTGGGCATAGTAACCATGGACGCATCTATGTCACCTTCGGGTTGAATTGTTCAACCACAACCTCCTATGCCTGAATAGCTGGTTCTCAATCCAGTTCATGCAATAACAGCTTCTTCCAAGCCATTGAAAACATGCACTATGTTGGGTCCACCACCTGTTACGCTTGCTTCCGCCTTCGGACGTGCTTAGGGATTATAACCCTTACGAAGTATAATTCTCATTTCTGTGTTGCCGGAGAAGAGGGGCTTTCGCTTGTCAAAGGCATACAACATTTCTTGTGCATATAACTTCGGCTACGCCATTCACAGTATTTTTGCTCAGAACCCACATCTAAATTTACAAAAAAGTGCAATAGTGCGAACGGAATTTATTAATAAACTATTGCTCGGAGATTTGAAACATTTGTTTGAAATTAAAGTTTAATCCTTTGATTACATGTGTATGTTAAAGATTTTAGATTCGGGTTATGCGTTTGGACACAACAACCGAAAATCATTGTACAAACTAGGGATGTTACGAATGTGGAATATTAGTTTGTTTAAACAGTGCTTGCAAGCCAAACCAGATGTCAGATTTTTCTAAAGCTTTTTAAAAAGAATTCTTCATTCTCATTCCTTTGGCTGATCAGAGTTTGAGGAATCTGTAACTTCATCCGCGATTTTCGATTTTAGTTTTTGTAATTCATTTTCAATACTTTCTTCTGCGACTGGTTTGAAAAATATGTTCTTGTAGCGAGATAAATAGGGGGATATGCAAAATAAGTTATTATTAGCCAGGATTGAAAATTTGGAACAATATTCTGTTTTCAAAGTCGTAGCTGCCAGCCGAACCGAATCAGAATATTGTTATTTAAAAAAAAATACCCCGTTTTTTATAAGAATTTGAATTATTGGAATTACGGATGATACGTCTCAGATAGTTACGTAATATAGCTTTTTAATTATTTGAGCATCGATTCTCTTTATAGCCAGACATTGATCATTTCTGCTGGAAGTCCCTATTGAAGGAGCTTACTCTTTGACTTTAAATAGCATAGAAGGGAGACGTAGGGGGACAGTTTTACCACAGAAGTTTTTAGCCAAGGATCGAGTGTATATCCATATGAAAAAATATTGCCCGACAAGTAAACAAAATTACTCTTTTTAATTAATTTAAATTCTCGAAAGAGGCCCATTTGAAATGATTGAAACGAATATATGTAACATCAAAAGAAAATCACGAAAATTTGGTTAAAAATTACAGTGCAATCTTTCTTCTACTGTGTCTAGTAGTTTTTATTTTAAGATTGGTCCAAAAAAATCATAATAAAGAAAGAAACCAATGCAGGTATTTAAAGTACAAAAAAAAAATATTAAAAGGACTATGTTCTCTTTTGCGTATCTCAAAGGTCAAGTAGAAGTGAAAACTTGTATGACTGCCCATTGATAGCTCGGTTATATACCTTACAAAATAATAGGGCGATTCATCAAAACGCGCAAATGCCTCGTAACCATGTAAACCTTGTAAACTTACTTAGTTTTGTATGAAAAATCTAGTTATTTGCGAGGTTTACGCGGTTATGAGGGATTTACGCGTTTCCATGAATACCCATGATATGTTTAAAGACTTTTTTTTATCAAATATTGGATACAATTTGTCATTTTGTTTTCCAGATATACGTTTTATCGTTGCACTTGCACAACATTCGAATTCGCAAAAGCTCCGCATTGATTATTGCGAATGCGAATGTTAAAATTAATGTGGAAGCTCCGCGGTTGCGAATGCGATTGCGAATATTCGCAACAATCCTGGTACAAACTACTAAAACCGGACCAGTGTTGCCATTTTAGTCGTTTTCCGGCTAGATTTTGCTGGTTGCGATAGCAAACAGCCGGAGAAATTTCGGTTTAGCCGGAAGCGGATTTGTTAGCCGTTTTGTAAAAAAAGTAGCCGTTTTTGGCCGATTTTGCTATTTACCTTGTTTTCTTAAAATTCAAATATATGTATGTGTTTCCATTTTTGACTAAGCGATCCAAAATCTGTTGGAAATGGCTACTAGCCTTATCGCTGAGGCAGGGTTATATAAAAATAGGCCGATCTCGCTTATTTTTATTTTAAGGGAATATATTTTTTCTAAAGAAGGCGGTAACGGGGATTTTCTTCATAAAATGTTTGTTATAAATGACTTAAATTTAAGTGTGAAGTTTTATTCGCAAACTCAGAAAATAACAAATTATCTCACAGTTTGCTTAACACGCGTTTATGTTTAGATATAGTGCCAAGAATAAATGTTACAGGTATTGTCTTCATAGATAGCGCATATTCAATTCTGCCTTAATTACAAAACATCATTGTTGCCCACGCTTAAAGTTTTAAGGTAAGGGAAAAAAGGATATTTTCAAGCACTATGTACACATATAGATTTATTTAAACTAACTTTTTTTGCTGAGAACTTATTATTCCATATTCCATTAACCGAAGGCCAACTTGAACTAAAAGAACCAAAACTGAAATGCGGCAAAATTAAAGTAAAAGAGCACAAATTTCTATGCAAAGCAAAACTCTCTGGGAAGACAATAGGTTTGTTCGTCGAAAATCCAGCAAAAATTATCACTCAAAATATCAGTTAGTAAGAAAAAATGATCCTAAATTTTGTCTCAAGTAGAGAAACTTGCAAATTTCTGTACGAACGCAAATTTGCAGGAACTTGCAAGTTTCCCTGCCCGCTAGTGTTCACGGTTGCATTTCAAACATAAGAAATTTGTATAGAATTTTACAATTCTTTAAGAGGGGCAAAAAACAGGATCTACATATATATTTCTTGCTAGTCCAACTTTCTTCAACATACGTTTAAATTTCTTTGCCGTACTAACTGTCGCGTTTCCTATATCAACTCTGGTCGAGATTGCATTCCGAGTACGTTTCAAATCATTGGAAATAACTAAAAAAATTAAGTAAACAAGTATTTGCTTAAATTTTTCATTTTAAATTCGCTCAAGTTTGTAAATTTTTAAATTTGACGAATGAATATTCAAATTATCGTCGACAAAAAATACAACCATGTGCGACAATCATATGTTTTTCCTAATTGCAAATTCTTGCTGGCAAAATTTTTTCCAGCTTGAATTTGCAACTTCTCTCCAAGAACTAGTCTTTCTACTTATGATTTATTTAAATAAAACATGTGAAATTTAGGTGAAACAGTTTAGCCGTTTTTAGCCGTTTTTTTGCCAATTTAGCCGGGTGGCCCAAAAAGTCTATTTCTACGATTCGTAGCAAAATTCGAATACGAAAGAGTTGAAGAATAGGGGTGTTTATCTGAAAAATCAAATGTTATTTTGCTATATCAGTTTATGTTATTTTATAAACTTTTTTGCCTATCATTTACTAAATTTGCTATAACTTTTCTATTTTCAAATCGATTTGCAACAGATTTGGATCCATATACTTTGAAATTTAATAAGCTTTAATATAGCTTAAAAATAATAACAAAAAGTTTGCAGCTTTTAGGTGTAATTCACAATAGAATAACGATGCGACTTAAAATTGTGTCCGATTTCACCCGTAAATTTGCAGATAACCCTTAAACTGATAATTTGAGTGCAAAACATTGTATAGCAAGTTCATTGGCATTTCCAAGACCTTTAATCTGGCGGGGAGCTTTTTGTGTTGTGAGAACCAGAACCGGATATTTTTGCAAAAAATTTAAAATGCGGCTTTCTCAATTTGAAAAAAAACCACAATTTCGGAAATTCGTAAAACGTATTCTTTTTTTATTTTTGGCCTCATATTCAGTTCTGTGAGTTATTTTACATAGCAAATGACTATACAATTCACAATTTTTAACTATTTTGTTAAAAACTTTTTCCCTCAACGCATATGGTTTTCTATATTTTGAAATGCAACGCGCAAGTACTTAGTTATCATATTCGAATAAAATTTTGTCCAGCTTATTTTTAGACTAAAAGACATCTTTTTCCGCCCGGCAAAACATATTTTTGTTTTGACGAACGGTCTAAGCTACATGTTAACTCTGAGTGAGAATATGCGGTGCATTTTTATCCGGGCCATAGTTGTTCGTTTGGAAAAGCCAGCAAGAATTAGCAACCAATAAAATTCAGAGAATAAGTACTATCTTACTCTACTAAAGAGAGAAGCATAGTTTTGCGCGAACAGGAATTTGAAGAAATTTGCAAGTTTCACTGCCAGCTGGAGCGCATGGTTGCATTTCATACAAATAAATTTTTATGAAATTTTTAAACTTTCAAGTAAAAAACAAAACATGACCTATACGTATGCTTCTTCTTATTTTGACTTTCTTCAACAAATGCTTAAATTTCTTTGTGGTAGTCACTGTCGGATTTCCTACATCGACAATGGTTGTGACTGCGTTCCGATTACGAATAAAACTTCTTTAGGGAAGTACATTTCAAATCAAATGGAATTAACTAAATTAATTAAATAACCATAACTAGAATATCAATCAAGAGTTTTAAAAATTATCTTGAATAGACGCATGTAATTGTTAATTAAGCAAATAACTTTTTTTTTACAGAGCAAATCCAAATCTAATAACAAATGTCCTCGAAATAGTTCAATATTGGATGAGGCGCAATGCATAGCTTTGGCTGAAATATATAAATTACATACTTGCCTTTGGAATGAGGAGGAAATCGCTTATAGGTTCAAAAATAGACGCCAAGAAGCTTTAATCGCTGTTTTTAATGGATTTAACGCAAAAACTGGTCTGAAACTGTCACAACAGGATTTGAAAAAAGAAATTATACTGTTACGAAAAATCTGCTCAAATGAAAAGAAAATGAAAATAGCATGCAAAAAAACCAATTCCATTCATAAACCCACCTACGCATTTTACGATCATATAGCATTCCTCGAAGTCGACGTTGCCCCCTTCGAATGCTCCAAATGTGGAAAATTGCTGCCTGGGTCAGGTAAGCTCAAAGTACATTTGGCACAACATGATGGCTCGCTGCCCTTCAAATGTAATATCTGTGGCCATGGTTTTCAGTTGGGTAATAATTTGACGGTTCATCTGAGAAGACACGTACAGGACTACCAGTACAATTGTGAAGTGTGCAACAAGCCGTGCGCAACAACCACAGAAATTAAAATCCACATGCGTACACACACAGGCGAAAGGCCCTATGTTTGTTCTATTTGTGGCGAGAAGGCTTTGACGTCATCGCACCTTTTATTGCACATGCACCGGCGCCACGAAAAGCGACCTCTTCACAAATGTAAACTTTGCCCAAAAACGTTCTATGAAAGGAGAAGGTTGCGCGATCACTTGGCCGTCCATAAGAATGTACGAGATGAAATTTGCAGAGTGTGTAAGAAGGGCTTTAAAACTCCTGATCAATTGCGACAGCATCAGCTCATTCACAACGCCGTAAAGAAATATTTATGCAAATTTTGTGGAAAACGTTTTGCGCAAAGAGCAGGGCTTAGTGGGCATATGAAGACGCACGGTACAAAATTATCTGCAACTGTCCCTGAAAGTGCTACATAACTAGGATAAGTAAAACTGTGTTTCTATTGAAATAAGTTTATTAATGTAACTTCAAATCATTAACTTAAATAAAATAAAACCCGACTTCTTGTTCAAACATGCTTTTTAACAGGGGCTTATTCGGTATAATACGTGGGCTACAAAAATCAGCAAATTTCATGATCATCTGGCAATTCTAAGTGCTCTGTCTATGTACAAACCTTTAGGTCAGGGCATAAATTATCTTTTAATTGTTTCCCGCGGGGACATCACTCGTAAACAGTTCGCTGTAACTAGATAGAATATTGTTGACGTTTTCTCTGAATTTCATTTGTTTTACGGCTCTATTCTGTATCAGTGACATATTCTTGTCACAGTTTTTTATACGGAAAAATATATGAAAAAGTTTAAATCTGTCAGTAAAAAAGAGTTTCTCACCGATACAGAATTGGGCTATTATTTTAATTATTAATTGGAACCCAAAAGGGTAATCCTTTTAATGGCAAGAATCTTTTAAAGATCCTTAAAACACCCGGTGATCCTTATAAAATTATGGAGACAGCATAGAAAAAAAGTAAGTTGATAAAATGCATGCAGCAATCCTCCACTGTTGTGATAAAGAAAGCATCAACATATTAATTTACGCCAACAATAAAAATTAACAGGTAATTTTTAATCAAAAAACAAAACCGACTTCAATTCTCATATAAAAATTTAAGATTATCGTTAATTTCTTCATGATCCAAATTAATATGAGACTACCTGTGAGGTAACACCTTTCCTTTAAAAAAAGAAATATAGAAATCGATTAACGTGGTCCAAAGTTATGCGGTAACATACATAAAAAAAAAAATTATTCCGACGAATTGATAACCTTTCTCCTTTTTGTGAAGTCGGTTAAAAATCAAACATCATGAAAAAGTTGTTTCTAATAAAAACAAGAAAAGAAACAAAAAAGTGCTAGCCAACATTTTGAAAAGTTTCAGTGTTTATTTAATATGTTTATTAATATTTTAAAAAAGTGCAGTAGCCGGACTCCGATTTACCGCTAAAACTCCATCACCGAAAAATGCGATGTGAATTTTGGTAATTTTTAGCGACTTTCGCGGTTCTATCTTAAAAAAGCATCTCCAAAAATCTCCATTTTTTGACAGATTTTAGCAATGAACCGGGTAAAGTGAGTGAACTGTTTTTAACAGTTCATATAGCGTATGGCGCTATTTTGTAAGGCGACGTATAGCCGATGGGCAACCATATATGTACTAAAATTCGCGTTAAGTATGGGAACTGGCTACTGACTGTCGGCTACTGAGTCTAGTAGCGCAATTTTCTGTTTCCCGCTTATCACGATTTTGAAATTTGTTTACATAGAGCGTGTGTGTAGCAAAGTTCGTGACGAGGAAATTTTTGACAAGTAGGAGGTAGGGACGTTCCGATACCATCAAAGTATCGATACCTACTTAAATGAGTTTACTCAAATCGTTATTTCGATACTACTTATATGAGTAAACCGAAAGTATCGATACCTACTTATATCGATAATTTTACATTATTGTATATGCAACAAAGTGAAAGGAATTTTCCGGCGTTTATCTGTGACATACCTTTTGCGTTATGCGTTTTTCACACAAAGTCCGAAAAATCACGACACATAGCGACAAATTTTATATGACACAGCGCAAATAACTAAAAACATGACTTTAAACACTTTTAATTTTTTATTTGTATTATTTTGTTGAACATGAACGAAAAATAAATAGCAATTTGTATTGTATTTACAATACAGTGAGTGGAAGACCGACCTATCCCGGCAGCCAGTTCGAAAACGTCCTATCTCAGAACACTTTTCAAAAACGTCCAATTTCAGAAATATATTGAAAAACGCCCTATCTCTGAAAACGTTTCAAGAACACCCTATTTCATAACTCGGTTCAAAAACGCCCTATCTCAACATATTTTCAATATATTTTCAGTTGAGATAGGACGTTTTTGAACCAAATTATGAAATATGGCGTTCTGGAAAAGTTTTCTGAGATAGGGCGTTTTTGAATCAATTTCTGAAATAGGGCATTCTTGAAAAGTTTTCTGAGATACGGCGTTTTCGAACTGGCTGTCGAGATAGATCGATCTTCCACTAAGGTGTCGATATGTATATTTCGTCATTAGTAACGATATGTATATTTATTCATTAATTAGACAAAAATTTCAACCTTTGAACGGTTCCCACAAAACTTTACGGTTTTAAAGCATTCCTTGCACTTTGCTGTGGTATCAGTAATTTTGTAAAAATATATCCGTGCTTTAGATTTTGGCGGTGTCATTGCTTAAAGCAATTATTTTTCATAAAAACGACGCTGACAAGATATGGAACTTGCTCAAATCCATTCGATACAAGTACTTTTCTTTCGATACCAAGTACGAATCGAAACAACGATTCGAGTAAAAAAGTAGTTGGTAGCGAAACAAAAGTATCGAGTACGTACTCGTATTTACTTGTATCGGAACATCCCTAGTAGGGGGTGAATAAAATTTCACTAGCTCATGAGGGGTTTTGACAAATGCATAGAAAATTTTTACAAACACAAATATTGGTGATGTGCATGATTCAATAGTAGAAAGGTTTTGTAATAAAACAGTCTTCTCCCTTCCACACATAAAATCGGCTCCTTTACTTGTGCAGAATGTTGCTTACTCTACAGTTTCTAGTGATAAAATATGTACATCGAATTAAAGATAATAGCTTGTACTTTCTAAATAATATAAATTTCTTTACCATTAATCATGCAGTTTTTTTCAAAAAAGGTTATTTCATGAAAAAATAACATATGTTCGTTTTTTAGTGGTTTTGGTATAAATATATAAAAAACAATTTCAATTATGTATATCAGCTGAAAGATTGATTATCTTTATGGTGACGTTATTAGTTTTTTAATCAGTTATGTGGTTCATAAGATATTAATATTAAAGAAAAAAATCAAAGAATTAAATTGTAACCTTCTAAAACGTCTTAATATTTTACTTGCGCTAAATAATTATGACATGGTTGAAATGAGCGTAAAAAGTTTTATTGATCTGCATTTTTTGTTTTTGCATAGCTGAACGGTCGGTATTCTAGATTTGTTCCAGGAAATGACGAATAACTTAAATTAAAAATCTATTTTTTTACGTATTGCTTAGTATTTTCATTAAAACACCAAATATATTGCAAATTCACATAGAATTAAAAATACACATTTTACTTCTAATTGTATACTTTCTTAGTACCTTTCTACTACCGTTTTCGCAAAAGGAGATCACATTCTTCCCCTTTCTCCTACTTCCAAAATACAAATCTAGATAAAGGAGTGTCAAATTTTAGCTGTCACAAATTACATAACCTTGTGTTATTGAATCATGGTTGATGTGTATAATTTTTCGTTAAATAAAAGCTTAAATTGATGAATTGCAATCAATGTTGGTACATGTTTTCTTAAAATATTAATTTCACTCTAATTCGTAATATTTTATCCCGAAAAAATCTGCGGTTATCAAAAATTTACTGCTGTCAAAAAAGATTTAATTTTACACAGCAGATTGGCAAAACTGTCTCACAATAATAAAAATATTATTCACCAGCTTTCCCCATAGAACTTTGTTACTGAATCACACACGCCCATAAATTGTTAAACACATTGGAGCAAAGTTGCCAATTACCTCGAAATGTACATATCGAAAAAGTAAATTCGGATGTTGTCTGAGTTTTTCGTATACTGAAATTAATTGCTATACATACGGTGCCCACATGGTACAATAATTACAGGTATTGTCTTTCCAGAGAGTTTTGCTTCACATCAAAATTCGTGCTCCTTTATTTCCATTTTGACGCAGTTCAACGTTGATTCTTTTAATTTTATTTGGCTTTGATTTTTGTTTTCGCTCAATTTCTTTTTTATAATTTTTCAAAACAAAAGCAAAAGCGTTTGAAATTAAGTGAGCTATACAATTTTTTAATTTATTTACTAACAAATGGTTTATTTTTTGGCTTTTGCAAATTAAATAAGTCCTCTGCAAGAAGGATTGTTTAAAAAAATACGTGTAGATATATGGTATATGGGGTATGGAAATATCCCTTTTCTCTAGCAGTAAACCTTGTGAGCAACAACGATGTTTTTCAAATAAGGCAGATCGGAATATGCGCTCTCTGGGAAGACAATACCTGTAATTATTGCACCATGCGGTGACCATATTTATGGCAGCCGAATACGAATGTCGCCAATTTTTCCCACAAATTCTAAAAAAATTTTAAAACCTATGATTCAAGATTTTTAAACTTTCAAACCGCAAATTTATTTTTTCGCAGCACATAAATATTCGCTTGCAACAACACACATTTGTAGAATATTTTTCCATAAGTTTGTACTTAGTGCTCGGAATTTTTACCCCGCAAAATTTGTTACAAACATTTCTAGACAGGGAAACATGATGAAAATATCCGACTGCTCTTGAAGTACATACGTGTTTTATTTCATGCATTATTTTCGACTCGGATTTCGACCAAGCACAATGAATAGCATCCCGAACGAGCTGAATTGCAATGCGTACCATTCCATACTGCTTTACATTTAAAACATTTTCCTGGTAGCCTTCTTTTTTGGAGTTTCTCACGTTGAAGATACAAGCCCTCATACAATCACCAATAATATTTTGGTGTAGTTTCGCCTTATGAATATCTTCTCTTCAAAAAATTTAAAATTGCCTCCATACCACTACACATTGCACCGGTAATAGTACCCGAAAAATAGCAAGCTGTGTGTATTTTGTTGTTGGTTTTGGAATCCATATACATAGATAAACCAAGTTATGAAAGACGAAATTCTGGAAAGAAATAAAATCAGCTGTTCTATTGCTGCCAGTTTAATATACTTTGCTCTACAGAATGTTAAACCTTCAAAAAGCTAAATTTCTCTTAGAAATTTTAACAACATTCATTAACGTTTAATTTCGATTCATACAAAGTTTTTTAAGCGTACATATGTGCTCATCGCTTCATCACAGGCGTCCTGGTTTAAAAACTGGTTCATAGGCATGTCATTTTTATGAGCTGTTAATGCGCCAAAATACATACGGAATACGGCAAAA